CTATCCCCGGGGCTGGACTTGACCAAATATGGCAAGTCACGTACTCGCCGCTCGATGTTCGATTAGTCATCCGGCCACGGAGTCTTCCGGGTTCCCCTCTTACTCTCTACCACCACCACCTCATCCTCTCTGGGTACTAATTTCCCCTCCTTAAATCTGGACACATATCTTACCAACCTGTCTCGCACAGTGATGCTGAGTGTCCATGACTTTCGTAGCAGCACAGCCAGAGATCTTCGGAGATACAATGTCTTATGGACTCGGTATCATGTGGATGATCCCGGGAAAAGGGCATGGACAAACTGGGACTACAATATATTCTGGATCCCCTTGGCGGCTGCAAGTGAGCCAGCATGATGACGCGTCTATTGGATGCCCCGGTCTCTGCTAATAAATTTCAAATACGCGCACCAGGTCCACTCGGACAGCTAGACCGAAGATGGGTGTAGAAATTGGTGATAGTCCCCCCCGAGCGGCCACCCTCTCCCTGCCACTCCCATCTATCTCTCACTTCTCTTGGGACCGCGCATCGTTGGAGGACTCGTTGCCAACGGGACTGTCAGTGAGTGATGGTACCGTATCTTCCAACTTTACATGTACTCACCTTGGCGTCCTCACCACAGCGCAACCGATATTTTTCTATGTGAGAAGACCGTCAGGACTCTGTTTCGTGGGATAATCTCCCGATAGACGTAACATGTCACTTACACCTACTACAAGCGAAGATGCCGATCTTGAGATGACGCCGGAAGCTCAACATCCGCCGTCTTCCCCGGCTTTAACTTTCGAAGTCCGGGGAGAGAAGTTGCACCAATTGTTCCAGGATCGCACCGGGAGCCCGAAGGGCCTCGATTTCAAGTCTATGTCTTACAATTCCCTCTGCGACTTCGTGAAATATCAAACCCCCAATCTCGAGCGCGTCGCTACGCTCCTCCATGATACCGTCTCCGAAGCGCGTCAGCGGCGCAACAGCAAGCAACTGGTTCATCGCCTCGTCACGGAACTTCTCTCCTCTGTCTTCACCCACCTCATCTCCGAACACACACCCCAGAGCGACACCGACCTCGTCCACGCCACACATGTATGCCGTCGCTGGCGCGCCACTGCACTCAGTAGCTCTGGACTGTGGACCCATGTCAACGTCCTTGCTTCACGTAGGACCGAAGATCAGGCTCTCGCCTTCAGCGAACGATCCGGAAGTAGCCTCATCGACATTCGCTTCGTCGGTCACGCAAGCTATCTCTCGACCGGACGCATGAAAGAAGCGCTCGCCCTCGCCGGGAGAGCCGATCGCATTCGCTCATTCATTGTCTACAAACGAGATGAACGCGCCATACCGCTCTTCCTGTCCGTCATGTGGGGACGGCGGCGGCGATGCGAGTGCGGGGAATTGAGACTGAAATATCACGATAAGGCAAGAATCAGAATCATGATGATGAACGTTAACAGCCACTACTTCGCACACAGCCCCGTGTCCGTGTTGCTCCGAGCCCCACCCAAGTACTGAAACTTCTATAGCTCAGGTGATCTACCATAATTCAAAGTGGCACGTTCTGGTTGCAAAGTTGAGGACGCTGTCTCCTACAGCTGAAATAATGTCCATGTGTGGTTTCGTCTTTGGCAACCATAGCCTTGACAATTTGAAGGTTGATCACTCGCCAAGTACGGTGGAAACTTCTCCGGACTTGAATCAAAGCATACTTGTCATGTGAACGGAGTCAAAAACGGAGTGGGAATAGAGCTGAGCTTCTTTGGTGAACCTTGCTTTCCGCTTCTCGGCTCATCGGCATAAAAGAGGCGCGTGGTAGAAGCCTGGCGTTCGACAACACCCACGTCTTCGAACCTTCCAACTTAAACTCGACGTCTACATGAACTCTTCGTCTTCAGGTTTGCCAGCCGACGTCCTCGCGTCTATCCAAGATGGGTATGCCACATCAGGGAAAACCCGGATCCCTAAGGAGGTATAAATTAGAGGCGGTCGCTACTAAGCATAGATAATGCCCACTACCTCCCGATATTTGCCTCTTACGGACACTAAGCCTGCTTTCTCTTAACTTATCGGTCTAATGGTCAAGTACCAAGTCACTAAGTCGTCCGACTGAGGGCCGACAAAGACAGCTACGCAAGCACTCTAAGGTCTGCATAAAAGCCGTAGATTGTCACAAGGAGCTATATACGTAGGTACGAGTCACGAGAGTGGTCGACAAAGGAGGTTGATAGAGTACAAAGGGCAACGGGATGTGGTACAGCCGATGAGGGGGTAGTCAGGCTAGAGGAAGCACCGTGAGGTGGAGGGGACGAGCTGCTACTTCAGCCTACTTGATCGTGCGGTGCGTGCGATGTCGTGCGGTGTGACAGGATCGGCAATGTAGGCTACATATCGTGCACCCGGCGTCACGCATCGCGCGTCCGAAGATTCGTGCCGTGTGTGCGACTCGCAGAGTGCGCGGCGCGTGTCGAGCGTTGCTGCGCGTCAGGAGATGCGCGGTGAGTGTCCGATTCGTGCCGTGTGTGGTCCGTCAGACCCAATGGGAATCGCAGACAGGTGAGGGCACTTACGACGCTCCTCTTCTAGTCCCTTTCCTCAGCGTCCTCCTCCTCGTCTACGTCGTCCCCGTCAAGGCCGTGGTTCCAGGTCGCGTGGTCCATGATCTCCTCGAGGCGGTAGTTTGCAAGGCAAACGTCCTGCCCGTCAAGAAGGTCGAGCGTTCCAGAGTAAAGGCCGTACTCTTTTTTGGCTACGCAGCAGCCTTTTGAGGTCAGTTCGATTTTCGATCACTACGGGCTGCAAGGGGTCACGTCAGCTACCGACGTCGGAGGTACCATGCACGAGGAAGGCGGTTGGCGACGTTCGACAGCGTCGCGTGCCGAGACCACAGCTGCGCGGGAGTCTGCGGCGCCTGTGGGCAGCGACAGCGGTCGGCATCGTGTGTTGTGTGGTACGAGACCACAGCTGCACGGCAGTCTGCGGCGCCTGTAGACGACGCAGGCCGACGTTGCGCAGAGGCCGACAGTGCACGGCGGTCGACGGCGCGGGTGGGCGACGGCGGCCGGCATCGCGCGACGGTGGTACGAGCTGCATGGCAGTCTGCGGCGCCTGTGGACGACGCAGACCGACATCGCCCAGAGGCCGGCGGCGCACGGCGGTCGATGACGCGGGTGGGCGACAGCGGCCGGCATCGCGCGCCGCGTGGTACCAGACCACAGCTGCACGGCAGTCTGCGGCGCCTGTGGGCGACGCAGGCCGATGTCGAGCAGAGGGCAGGTAGACCGCGCCCGTGTGGCGCAGGTGGACGACGCCGTCGCGCGGCCTTACGACGCAGTAGGGGGGCATATAGGGCTCAGAATGAGGGGGCTTACCTGAGGGGGCCGGTCGAGCATGGTGGGCGAAGGATGGGTGGCCGAGGTGGACCAGAGGCGGGTGGCCGAAGGTTGACGCCGTGGTTATAGTGGGCGGTTTTTGCATCGCATAGGGGGGAACTCCATTGTGGGTTTTGGGGCTTCATTCATCGTAAGGATGGTCAGCTGCCGCAGGGGATTGACGCATTTAGCCCTGCGAGTTGGAGATGCTTGGCAAAGTCGTCACTCACCTGGTTGAATGACTACTGGTTGACCAGGTCGCCGTAGTCCTCATCTGAGTCAACGCCCGCTGCCCCGAGCACGACAATCCCCACCTGGAAGCACGCTTCGAAGGGCTCAGCGACATGCTCCTCTGTGGGAGCGGTGCGCGGGCTCACGCTCCTCTACCTCTAGCCCAGCCCGTGCCTCGCTTCCCCGGCGGTGGCACGGCGGAAGAGGCGATTGTGCGTGCGGACTCTGCAGCCGAACGTGCCCGCATCAAGGGAATTGGGGAGTTCATACTGGAGGTCTGGGGCATGCGTCAACAGTGCGCGGACAGGGCAATGAAGGCAGAGAGTCGAGACTAACAGGCGGCGTCTTCAACACAATGATGACGTCGCAGGGCACCTGAGCAATCTCCTAGATTCAGGTTGAGCCGGTAGGGTTTGGTCAACATCTGGAAAGCCAATCAGAGGAAGTACGCCAGGAAGTTGGGCGAAAACTTACGGAGTCATGTGGGCCTGGTCAGCCGGTATTCGCCCGCCCGCGTCGATCCTTACCGGCGCCCATCTCACGCCGTGCGCGTCCATGGCGAGCGCAATCGACCCGTACTTGCGCTCGTCCGTGAGAAGCGGTTACCCGCAGCGCTGAGGATCCGCCACAGCTTGACTATAAGCGTCGGTCAATCGTGGCAAGGTGGAGGCGGACACGTACTCAGAGGGCGGAAGGGTCGTCTGCGACATGAACGCGGGACCGGGAAGGGGCGGCCGTGAGGGTGGCGATTTGGTAGGCGAAGGGGCAGGTGAGGCGCAGAGGGGTGGGCGTGAGGGCGGCGAGTTGGACGCGTAGGGCGCACCTGCGCGGTGCGTCCGCCACCCACGGCGCATCAGCTCCCAAATGCCATCGTCTGTGCGTACATCTGCCCGTCTGGATGCTTGGCTATTTGCTGACGGACAGTCTGCGGTGGAGGCTGGAAGGGGGTAGGGCGTGTGCGGCGGGTGATACGTGGCTAGTTCTTGCCACCGCGATGTAGAGGTTGAAGACGCGCGAGTGGGCGTTGTCCTGGTATGTTCAACCCCACGCGTAGTAGGCTGGGAGTGCGTGACGTCACACCCAGCCCGCCAGTGTTGATCCGCGCCCATGGCGCGTTGAGTTGAGCCGCAGTGCGAGCACGACGCCCTCAAAGAGCACGCGCACGCGCGCCCCCCGCGTGTCGTAATGCTACGCACGCGCCAATGTGCGCGTCGCCCGACGTGGTGTAGCGCCGAGTCCCGACGCCGGGTACTCCCAGCTCGGCGAGCCACTGTGTGAGCAGGACGCTCCTTGTGGTCCCGCATGACAGTCGCTGTGAGAGTTTGGGGAGGTTGTGGGAGGGAATTGTGGACGATCAACAGTCGTTGAACACAAGAGTGGTTTAGAGACAGCCGTACCTTGACCTCCTTCTAATATAGGATCTTGTAGGTATGCTTGTCAAGGAATGAGTTTACGTAGAAGGAGGTGCATGACTCCAGGACGTTGCTCGACGTCCATTCCCGCGGTGCAATGGGGCCGAAGCATGGAAGGAGCTGGCAACTGCGTTCGATCTGGGTGATAGGAATGACGTCGGCAAGCCTTGCTCCGTTTCGAAGTGATCGCGAGACCTTGTAAAGGCCATGGTTGGGGTCGGGTCCGGCGGCAGCGAAGGGCGTGAACCATTCCACATAGGCGAGGTGCTTCGGGACGTTAGAGCTGGGCACATCAGGAAAGAGGTCTGTGGCTTGTGGGGGCAGACGGAATATAACCCGTAATTGCGCGACACGGAGATCTGGGCGGGTGTGTTGCTTCAGTTCATCGTCTGTGACGACACAAACGGCAACTTACCTGCAGCCCCAAGTTGACGGGGGCCGTCTTGCCCAACAAGGTGTGCAGCAGGACCAACACAGACAAGAACGGTGTCAAACCGTTCAGGAATTACCTTCGGAACCTTCCCACGACTAGTCCTTGTTGGCGATGCGTGGGCGGCGTCCTGAGCATAGGCATCTGGGTCCGACGATCGATGCGGATCTCTGAGCCAAAACTTGACCTTGTTGAAGACGCCGAGCTTCCCAAAGTTCATCCGTAAGTCTTGCTATGTTCTAAAGCTTCTAAAACCTCTAAAATTTTAGAGATTTTTTGGCTAGAAGTGTTAGAAATTTTTAGAAGTTTTTAGAAGTGTTAGAGATGTTAGAAGGTTAGAGGGATCAGGATTCAGGATTTGTCAAACTCTCTGCAACATGAGTATGTATTATAGTAATTTACTCAATGAGCCCCAACTAGCAACTAATATGTTTACATGATGCACTCAATAGATCACACAACCAAAGAGGGGAGCTAAATGTTATATTCATCATACTACAAGGTACAGACTATGGACTACAAACAACGGCAGACATTTCATAGAGGCAGCGAACACAGACGCACAAGGTCCCCCATGTGGGCAACATGGTGGTGACGCAAATGACACGAGCCCAGTCGTGATGTGGACGATGTGAGCGAGGTGGGTGAAGTGGGCGAGGGTGACGTGGGAGAAGGCCATCAGGAAAACCCCCACTTGCTAATTAGAGAAAATTCGCTCTAATTAGTGCTCATTAGCAAGTCTTCTCTAATTAGAGCGAATTAGAGTAGTACATTGCTAAGGCATCTAATTAGCTCTAACTAGATGCAAATTAGATCTTCAGGAGCTCTTCATTAGCTGCAAGATAAATCTCAAAGAGGACTCAATTTGTGCCTAATATGTTCATACAATGCTCTCAATAGATCACACAAAGGTAAAGGAGAAGATCTATATTTGTTGTACTACGAGATACAGAGTAAAGACTAAAGACCACAAGACAGACAGGCATACAGCCACTCGACTAAAGAATCCAATACGGATGACACAGGTGACGTGGGCGAAACAAGCGAGGTGGGCGGCGACGCGGGCGATATGGACGATGCAGACGAGATGGGTGACCATGGATGACACTAGCGACATGGATAACCTGGCAAGGGGAAGCGAGCGACACAGACGAGGCACGTGGGCGACATGGCGACGTGAATGACGCGGGTGTGGGCGGTGTGGGTGCGGGCGACGCGGGGGCGAAACGCGGACGTGTCACGCAACGCGGGTGAGGTGTGTGCGACGAGCGAGATGAACGACATGGCCAAGGTGACGGTGTGGGCAAAGTAGGTGACGCGGGTGGGCGGACCACGGGGGCGAGGCGGTTGTGTTAGGAGGGGTGGATGAATGAACGGCAGGCCGGCTACCCTCAGGCGCGAGTCGAACAGGCTCGTCTGCGCGTATGTCGAGTGCCACTTGTACTTGAGCCGGCATGCACGCTGGTGTGTTCGTGCACCACGACCGTTGGTTAGGAACGATTTCAGCAAGATTCGCAAATGACTCACAAAGCTCCAGTGGGTGATGCGGGTGACACGCGCGAGGTGGGCAAAGACGGCGATATGGACGATGCGGAAGAAGTGGGCGACGCGGTCGCGCGCGGTGTGGGAGCAGAGGGCGACACGGGCGAGATAGGCGACGCGGGCGAGGTGTGCGGTGGCCGAGATCGCGACACGAGTGAGGCGGGCAAGGTGAATAACGCAGGTGATGTGGTTGAGGTGGGCGATGCGGGCGTGACGTGGCGACGGGGCCATAAGCTCACGCTGGGTGTGACGCAGAGCGAAGACGTGCTCACCAGCGTCATGCTGCTCGTTCTTGAGCTTGACGAGCTCGTACTGCGAGCAGTTGGGGGAAGAGGAGTGGTCGACGTCCTGGGTGGAGCGCGTTAGCGGGGCAATTCTTGACCTCGAGCTAGCGGCGGAGGTCCCCGAGCTCATGGATACGGACCGGCAGCGACCTGCTCGGGGTAACGCGGGTGCATGATTCCTGAGGGCGGTGTGGTGGAATGAGCGCGAGCGAGCGAGCTCAGGGCAGGGGGGAAGGGGAAGGCATACCAGCATCAAGAGTGGGGTGGGCGATGAACTCACAATCGCATGATATCGGGCACGGCGAGTCGGCGACCAACGGGTCATATCGATCGCGGGGTGCGTCGGGCGTGGTGTCGACGACTGAGGATCGGCGCTGGCCGTGTACAGGGCACGGGTCTTAGAGGATGTCGGAGGGAGGAAACCGGGGCTGGGGCGTGAGCAGGATGCGCGAAGAACGGGATCGTACCAACGTACCTCTTTGTGTGCACTGCGGCCATGGTTATAGTGGCTGGGATCGGTAGGGGGCTTTATTTTGGACGAGCTCGGGCTCGCTGAAGGGGGAGGCTCGCACACGTCGGCGCGAGGGAGGCGGTCGATGATAAGACGAACGCGGTGGACGTACCTGTTCCATATAACGTTGCCGCATCGGACACGTCGCGGATTGCGGTTGATGCTGCAGTCGATGGCCAGGCGGCGGACGATGAGGGACGGGGGAAGGGAAAGACACGCTGGCAGGCGCCACTTTCGCGTGGGAACGGACGCGCGTCGCCTGGACTCCGCGCTTGCGGCAACTTCGCCGCGCTCGCTCTCTGGCTCACCCTCACCCTTACCACCTTCCAATCCCCTCTATATCGACCACGCCAGCCTCCCGTGCTCCATGCGTACAAGCACGCATGAATCATCATCACGCACGTTCACTGGCTTCCCAGCTCCCTCCTCTCGTCCAAGGATACCCTCTGCGACAGCGTGTGCTCGCCACGTAGCGGCTTTAATCCGGTGAGCTCCTTTCTTCCTGCGCATCGTCGTCTCATTTTCCGTCTACCACTCTCCTCTCCCGCACGCCTCATCGCCGCCGATTCTACCTCATTTGATGGTATCTATCATTGTGAAGTGAGTGATCCCATACCTCGGACAAGCATCTCCCTCTCATTAACACCGTCACCGGCTGGTTTCCCTCCCCCGGCCAAGTCGCCGTCATCGACCCGCGCCTGTATCACGCCACAACCATCTCCTGTGTGTCTTCTCCACTACTTTCTCGTGCTTGTGCTGATCTCAACCACCCATCCCGCACATAGCACCCTTTGCCCCGACCGTCCGCGTCACCCCAGCATCGCCTTTGCTCGCTCTGCCCTGCCCCGTCCTCCACGCGCTCTCCTGCCGGGGCCATACAGGTCCTCGTGCTGAACCACGCCACGTTCAAGCACACAATCCGGGCTTGTGCTCGCGCTCGTGCACACCATCGGGAGCAACGCGCAGCAGGACGAAGACGCCCTTGCGCGGTGGGCGTGCTGCAAGGCGAGCCACACATCGCTCAGCGACCGCGTGGGCGTTCGACAAATCGGACTGCCACGCGGCGAACACCCGCACATCTGGTCGCGCTGGCTGGCTGCCTCCGCGCCCACTTCCTCTCAGTCTGCTAAGTAAGTCGTAACCGTCCCGATCCTCAGTGTTTGATCTGAAGTCATGAGCTCCCAGTGCTGCGGCTCGCGGACCACTCCCGCCAGCCCGCCTCCACAACTGCCCTGAGCAATCGCGCATGCTCACTGCCCCGGTCTGACGGTGCTGACCCCGCCGCCTCATCGTCGCCTGCATCGCCCTCGCACATGTTGACCGTCTCGTCCGGCTTCACGACGGCCGCCCACTTTATCCGTCTTCTCGCCTGCGTGATCTGTGTCGCCCACGTCTCACCCACGTCACCTGCACCTTTCAGCCCCCACTGGGTATGTACAGAGAGGCCGTTATACCCAGTGTCTGCGTCATCATATGTAGTTTGTACTTTTTACCTTGTAGCATGATGAATATAAATTTGTTTGCTCCTCTTATGCATTTGTGTGATCTATTGAGTGCATTGTGTGAGCATATTAGGCCCTTGTTGAGTGCTCCTTGAGATCTACCTTGCAGCTAATGAAGAGCTCATGAAGATCTAATTTGCGTCTAATTAGCTCTAATTAGATGCCTTAGCAATGTGCAACTCTAATTCGCTCTAATTAGAGAAGACTTGCTAATGAGCACTAATTAGAGCGAATTTTCTCTAATTAGCAAGTGAGGGTTTTCCTGATGAGGAGGGAAAGACGAGGGCGAGACGGGCAAGCGTGAGACGGATGAGAGCAAGACGGGCGATGGGCAGTATGGGCGGGGCTGCGGTGGGCGCCGCCTGGGGGTTTGCAGTGGGCGCAGTAGAGGCGGGGCACAACGGGGGCGACATGGCCGAGGCCGAGGTAAGCAACACAGGTGACATGGTGAGGGAGGCGCTTGGGCGACACGGGCGGGAACCTGGGGTTTGAGACCACATGGGAACCGACGACAAAGAACGTCGCATGAAGGTCATGCTTATCGAGGAAGTCCAGGACCTTCGGCGCTGTCGTGGACTCATCAGCGCCCTTGGTCCGTCCCCTCGAGTACATGATAAAAACGTACTGTACGTCGACGGGCTATTGTTGAGGTTGATGCCCCGCACGAGCTTGTCCAGGCAAGAAAGGATGTCGGTGTCCGCAACGTAGTGAGCGCACGTCTATCAGCCGTGCGCCCCACGTCCAAGGACGCCGCCGGGTGCTCCTTGCGTGTCGCACCGCTGAGGGTCGGGTCAAGGTCGGGGATGTCCAACCCATTGAGCTCCTTCATCCGCTCCTTGACTTGGGCGGAATCTGTTCCAAGCGTCAGCAATTCCACCCACCCAAAGACACGGGCACCCCACAGCTGTACGCACCAGTGGTGGGGGATCAGCACCAGCCAGTCTGGGCTGAGAAGACGACTGCATGCGCCCGCAAGGGCTCTTCGTTCAGAAACACAACACAGACGAAAAGACGCACAGGCAGTGGGGAACGCGGGCGTGCCCGGGTACGACGGCGTCACACCGGCGGCGAACGTGTTGGCAAGCATGGGCGCCGCTCCCGCGGGCACGTCCAACATCTCGCTGAACAGCGGCGGGACGGTGTTCTTCGAGGTCATGGAAGCGTCGGTCGTCCCCGGAGTCGTTGTGGGGACCAAGTGAAGGGGGGGAGAGAAGTCAGTGATGTAGGAGGAGGACGAGGATGAGGAGGGTGGGCGAAGACGCAGGGAGCGGAGGGGAGGACTAACCAGGGGAGATTAGGGCCGCGGGAGCCCACCGCGACCCCACAAAACGGCCGCGCGCGAGCTCGATGACGCCGCGTGAATGGAGGATGGGGCGACGCGGACCACAACGGTGACGCAGGCCGCTGGGGTAGACGGGGGATGTGGGTGACGCGGAGTGGACGACGTGGTGGGCGAAGGCGGGGCAGTGGGCGACGCCGGCGACGTAGGTGACGCGGACGAGGGCGCGGTGGGCGATGCGCGGGCAAGGCGATGGGGCAGCGGGCGACGCGGGGGAGGCGGAAGACATGGGGCCTAGGCGAGACGGTCAAAAGGTGGGCGAGAAGAGGGCAAGGGCCAGGTAGGCGAGGACCAGGTAGGCGATGCGGGGGCAAGACGTGGGCAACGCGTGCGCGAGGTAGATGACGTGGCGAGGGCGACGCGGCAAGGGCGGCGTGGTGGAGGAGGGAGACGCGGGGGGCCAGGACACGGCGGAAGCGGGGGAGGGCGACGCGAGGCAGAGCCGGCAATGAGGCAGAGGACGAGGGCAACGTGGAGGCAACGCGCAGGAGGTGGAGGACAACACGGAGGACGACGGTGAGGTAGGCGATGCGTGTGCTGGCAGTGTCAAGCGCTGGAGTCCGCACAACGCGCGTTCATTCCCACGCCTCCCGAGCCAGCGCCTGCCTTCGTGTCTCTGCGCTGGCACCGTCCTCCGTGTCCTCCCCGTTCTTCCTGTCCTCCCCGTCTTTTCATCCTGGCGCAACATCTTTGAGGAGCACGTGAACACGCCCCTCGCCCGCCGCGACGAGCTGTCTCGGTGAGTCCTCTGTTCTGCCCTCTTGCGCTCCCCACCTCGCCCACCATCTTGCTAGGCCCTGGCCGCACCACCAACCCTGTCCCCAACATGAGCACTGCTCTTTCCACCGGTGCGGCCGTGTTGTACATCGCCTGCTTGCCCACTACAACTGGGGCTCCTGCGCCATCGACATACCCACCTGCACTCTCGGCCAGGCGACGGCGCGACTCAGCGCGAGGAGTGCCCCACCAGACAGTTCTTGTGGGAGGGTGCGTCCACCTACTGCTCCTAGTACGTCCTTTTCAATCCCCGGTGCACTGTGCGTGTATGCTCACAGACGTGCGATCGTAGTTGCTCCGGCTTTCACTCTGACGACGCAAGTGCGACCAGTACTCCGTCGTCGGCACAACCTCCTCACCCCCATGCTCCTTCTTCTACGCTGACGGCCAGTTCTACTGCCCCAGCTCCAGGCCCACATGCCGTGTGCCCCTCCACCGTTCCGATTTTTTTGTCCACGTACTGACTTCTCGTCCGCAGCCGATGTTGGCGGCGGGAACCCCTCGGGTCTCAACAGCCAAGGCGCCCTCTGACGTCGCACAGCGGCGTGTCCCATCAGCCAGCGCAGCTGTCCCGTGCACGGCATCTCCGCGAACGGGCAGAGCCACCTCCGCAGGAGCGAGTCCATCGACGTCCGGACGGACCTCGAGACCTGCGGCGGGTGTGTCACGGACGACTCGCCGCTCGGTGCGCGCAATGCGGACAGCGGGTGCGACCGCAGCCTCCACCCACCGACAGCTTCCCTGGCTCCTTCACGGTCTGTTTCCCTCTTGTCCGCTATGCTCCTTTGCCCGTGTTCATTCCCATTCTCACATGGTCAACATCGCGACCTCACCTGTGTCATCCGCGCCATTGCCTTGCCCATATCGCTCACCGCGCCCACCTCACCCACATCGCCCAGTGCCTCGCCTGAATCTCCCGCGTCGTTCTTCGCCCATCTTGGGCACGTTGCCTGCGTCGTGCCCGCATCTGCTTGCACCTGGATCTCTGGCCTCGCCCATCTCGCCCACGTCGCCAACCTTGGCCGCGTCGTCCCCTCTTGCCCTAGCCTGCCTCGCCCTCGCCTGCGTCACCATCATCGCCCATCCCACCTTCGCCTGCGTCTTTCATATTTCCCACATCTCCCGCAACGCGACACGCCATACACCTTGGCCGAGTCGATCACGTTGCGCCCGCATCCCCCTCTTTGCCTGTGTCACCCACCTCACCCACGTATGTGTCCAGGCAGACCCTCGCGCCTGCGTCTCCTGTATCACCAACGTTGCACGCCTAACGTCACCTACATCGCCTACGTTACAGACCCAGACACCCCCATGTACAGCATCCTAGTCCATAGCCTGTACCTTGTAGCATATTGTATGGCAATATATTTGTTCTTGCCTCTCTTTTACACTTGTGTGATCAGATATTGGGTGCAGTGTATGAATATGTTATGCCTCCTCTTACTTCGACAAAAATGCGACAATAGTGATGTGCCTCAAACAATCTCTAAGTGCTTCTAAACTTCTAACTGCTTCTAAAATACACTTCTAAAGCTTCTAAGCTTCTAAAGTGTTCTAACTTCTCTCAACTTCTAAAGTTAGAAACTTTTAGAGGTTTTAGAAGTCAACGCAAAGTACTGATGTTGAGGTACTGTCCGCCTGCCGCATTCTCCACTTGACGGGGGAGAAGGGCGGGGTTGTTGGTTCTGGCAATGAATCGTCCGAGGGCGTCCCGAAAGAAAGGTGCGTGGTACAACGAGGGGATGTTGGCGACAGGGATGTTGGCGGAGGGATGCTGAGTGAGCTGGATGCGGGGCGGAGGCGATGGCAATTCCGCCGCCCTCCCTTGCGCTAGTTCATACCGTCTGAGGTCAGCAACACCCCCCGAGAAGAGAGGAGCAGGTACGTACCCTCGGACCCATGCTTAAGTCGCCACTCGACGTAGTTGGAGTGGTGAAGAACCTTCTCCTTTCGCTCCACCCACACTGCCATTTGCGGGAGTTCGTCTTTTCTGTTGGTAGCCCGCCAGGCGTCCTTGGCTAGGATGATGTGGAGCCTTTCTGTGAACTGTGAGTCGAAGTTGTCGGTGGTGCCAAGGAGCTCGATGGAGAGGATGTAGTGGTCGAGACCGTGGAGCTTGGGGATGTGGAAATCGACACGAATGCCCAGATCGACAAAGACGCTCTTGTTTGCGTGGAACTCTTCTAGTGCCTCTTGAAGTAGACGTAGCGTTGAGGCCGAATGGGTTGTGTACTGCGCAAGGTAGAGGACGTCGAGGATGGCCCTGGTAGCACGGATAACTCGAACAGGAGAGTACCCATCTGGGAGGCGTAGGTCGACAATGAGGCCCAGGAGGATGCGACAGACATGGGCATGTTCTTTGCCAGACACCCGAGATAGGATTGAGATTCCTTTGCTGAAGTGTCGAGCGTTGTGGTTGAGGGGGAGTCGACTGCATCGAGCATCGATCTCGTCAGATCCGTAAGCAGTTTGAAGCCAGGAAATGACGTGCTTGAGAACGCCTTGATGCAGCTGATGTAGGATGTCGGGCGTGATGGCCATGAAAATGTTGCAAAAAGGCAGGCGCTCCCAAAAAGGGTGGAAGATCGGCTTGATGCCAGCATCTTTGCACGCCTTGGTGTAGGTCCGCGGGCCTTGATTGAGGGTATCCAAGGCGGCAAAGACGCGCGATATGTCACGGAGAGCACGGGAGGTGTCACAATCTTCGCCGACGTCGTTGCGTGGGATTGGGCATTTCGGGCACTCTCCCGTCTTGCATCCACCTGTCCCTCACGGGATATCAGTTTCCCAGACTCGAGTGATCCGGGGGGCCGTGCCGAGTCTCCTTGACTCAAAATCCCACCCACCCCCAACTATTAGTTAAACTACAGGGTGCTTTCCTTACAGGGAAGTATTCGACGCCTCTACTAAGTATGGCATATATCCAGTCTCCCCCCGTATGTTTTCCCCGCCCGGCCCCGTGATGTCCCGAGTCCCGACCCCTCCGCCATCAGAGCCCCGCCCCTCCTACGTCATTTCCCGCGCCGGCGCCGCGCGCTCTGCCGACTGCCGCATCACTGCCCCGGCATGCCTGGACACCGGCGCCCCATGCCCCACCACCCGTGCTCGTCGTCCCCAACAGCGAGCTCGCTGTCCCTACACCCTGCCTCCCCCTCCCCTCCGTTTCCCTCCGTTCTTTTTGCAATCTACTTGTATTTCAAATGCGCACCTAATGACACACAATGCAATAGCTACACTTGCCTGAGTGTGCCTGCACTGAGCCCATATACCCCCCAAAATGCGTGCAATATAGGAACATATACAAGCATTCAATTGATCGGCCAAGTTCTTCAACATATAGTTGTAGATGAGAGCTGCTCTAGTATAAAATCGCAGGTGGATAGCTAGAGGGGTGCAGGTATGATGTCATATGTTATTTCAGAATGACATACTTCACAGTGACATGGTATATACATGTGTCGTCTTATATACACCCAGGATCGTACCTAGAGATCATTGAGAGCGCATTGAAAGAAGAAGCAAGTGAATAGATGATGTTTTGGTGAAGATGTGATATGTGTTCAGAAGGGGGTATTGCATTGAAAATGCGGCCTTCATATGTTCTTGTGCAGACCTCTGATCACTTTACATCTTGTTGCATTACGTTCATATGTATGTGGAGAGCTCAGATCGTCAGTTTGGTGCTTATCGGTGAAGGATTGAACACAGGCCATGGTATGTCATTATTCTATGACATAGAGTATAGCGATATGACATGTGCTCCGATTATTGTTATGAAAAGCGGAATAAGACGGGGTGTTCTTCTGCTCAACGATGCAGAATGAATCTCGAGAAACGATCGAGTAGTCGCTGAGATATGTCAGATGGGTCTAGAACGGCAGGTTGCACAAAGAACGCCCTTGAACCACCTACAGCACTTTGCACACTCTAAGCTCACCTGACATATCTCAGCGACTACTCGATCGTTTCTCGAGATTCATTCTGCATCGTTGAGCAGAAGAACACCCCGTCTTATTCCGCTTTTCATAACAATAATCGGAGCACATGTCATATCGCTATACTCTATGTCATAGAATAATGACATACCATGGCCTGTGTTCAATCCTTCACCGATAAGCACCAAACTGACGATCTGAGCTCTCCACATACATATGAACGTAATGCAACAAGATGTAAAGTGATCAGAGGTCTGCACAAGAACATATGAAGGCCGCATTTTCAATGCAATACCCCCTTCTGAACACATATCACATCTTCACCAAAACATCATCTATTCACTTGCTTCTTCTTTCAATGCGCTCTCAATGATCTCTAGGTACGATCCTGGGTGTATATAAGACGACACATGTATATACCATGTCACTGTGAAGTATGTCATTCTGAAATAACATATGACATCATACCTGCACCCCTCTAGCTATCCACCTGCGATTTTATACTAGAGCAGCTCTCATCTACAACTATATGTTGAAGAACTTGGCCGATCAATTGAATGCTTGTATATGTTCCTATATTGCACGCATTTTGGGGGGTATATGGGCTCAGTGCAGGCACACTCAGGCAAGTGTAGCTATTGCATTGTGTGTCATTAGGTGCGCATTTGAAATACAAGTAGATTGCAAAAAGAACGGAGGGAAACGGAGGGGAGGGGGAGGCAGGGTGTAGGGACAGCGAGCTCGCTGTTGGGGACGACGAGCACGGGTGGTGGGGCATGGGGCGCCGGTGTCCAGGCATGCCGGGGCAGTGATGCGGCAGTCGGCAGAGCGCGCGGCGCCGGCGCGGGAAATGACGTAGGAGGGGCGGGGCTCTGATGGCGGAGGGGTCGGGACTCGGGACATCACGGGGCCGGGCGGGGAAAACATACGGGGGAGACTGGATATATGCCATACTTAGTAGAGGCGTCGAATACTTCCCTGTAAGGAAAGCACCCTGTAGTTTAACTAATAGTTGGGGGTGGGTGGGATTTTGAGTCAAGGAGACTCGGCACGGCCCCCCGGATCACTCGAGTCTGGGAAACTGATATCCCGTGAGGGACAGGTGCTTGCATCCGGTGACTAGGACCTGTTCTGGGTAGTCGCCGACGTAGCTGGCAAGAATCGGGTGGCCTCGTCGAGTGATCCCGTCGCCGCTCGTAACGGGTATGCCGTCCTGGCCTGCAGCCCCAAGTGGAGCGAGGACGCGAGCTAGGCAGGCATGGAAGAGGTTGGCAAGGGAGCGTCGACGAGAAGCAGTCCCCTTGATGTGAGAGAGCTTGGTGGTGGGGAGGTAGGCAAGCAGGATCTGACCACGACGAGACGGTTTTGAACGTATGGACTTGGGCAGGTTCCCGATTGTGAGGTAAACGGGGTACGCAGTCTTGTTTCCAAACTGAGTAAGCTGGGTCTTGTCGGAGCTGATGATCACGGGAATGACAGTTGCACCCGGGTTTAACTCCTCCAGTCGCTTCTGTGAAGTTGGACTTTGAGTGAGACAAGCGGCTCGACTCCCATTGGGGCAATGAAATCACATACCTGTTGCACCCACCACCACTTCCCGGTATTCATATCGAAATAAACCCTCTCTTGTCGGGATTCGTCCGTGTAGTGCTGCTCAGGGGTAAGAAGAAGGAGAGGGGCGAACTCCGGGTCGCCAAAAAGCGCCTTGATGCATAGCAGAACGTCTCGGAAGAAGACCTCGAACTTCTCCCCTCCGACCTCTATCTCATGCCGATGGAAAGGTGGTCGTCCAGAGGGCAGTTCTTCGTCGATGAGGCGATTGAGCTCACGAGAGTTCTTGTAAGATAACTCGAGCCGTTGTGCTACCTGTAAACGTAATCGTCAGAACGTCCTTTGCACTCACACGCGCGGCTGGACTTACGCCTTCAATTGTGAGTAGATCAGTAAAAGCGGTAGAGCCCGACCCTCGAGTCTTCGCCCATTTGGCAACATCCCAATCCAGCTTCGAGGCAAATGGGGCGAAGGGATTCAAAGATGGAGCACCGTCTTTGATCTGAGCTTCATAGGTGTCGTAGCCTTGGTTCCATCGAGGGGCTTCGGAGACCCGCGTCCGTCGAAGTGGTGCAGCAGCGGAGGAGAGAGGGAATGGCTTGACATACGTCTGTCTGTGGTCTTGAACGGTGTGCTCTGCGATGACCCGACGTTGTCGAGATTGCGGAGGACTCCTGTAGCTGGATTTGGCCTGGGTCTGGTCCATGACCTGGGCAGTGGCAATAGCGTCGTCATCATCTTCAATGGTGAAGGGACTATGGAGCGGAGGCAGGTCGATGATGGGCCCAAGCTCTTCATGTTCTGAGTCAGAGGCAGCTTCTGGGTCGATGAATTGGTCGAAGTCGCCAGGGGAGTAATCCCCAAAGAAGTCGCCCTCAAACGGCTGAACTGGGATAGGGAGGAGGGGCACCAAGTCTTCGTCGTCAGGATCGAGAGGCAGGGGAGGGAGACCGTCAAGGAGTTGTCGACATCGAGGGTCACTTGTTCGCGCCAAAGACAGCCCCGACGGTGAGAACCTCCGGCCACAGCCTGGGCATGTAGATCCAGAGGAAGTTCCGTTCTTAGTGCGAAGATCGGACATGGTGGTAGAGGATGTGGAGGTGGGGAGAACGGTACGCCGGCTGGATGGGTGTGATAGAGACAGCTGAGCGTTGCGGTCCCAAGGAAAGCTGAGTCTAACCTGGCGGCCGTTGGCTGCGACCAGGATGCATCAGGTCGGAGCTTAGAATCTGGATGAACCAAGTTAAACCGCCACCTTTTGATCCCAGGCGTTCAAGACAACTTTTCTTGATACGGCTGAGACAGGACTAATATCTTCGCCTGTAAAAGTTCAAGCCGCTTTGAAAGTCAGCAAAAGCCCGCCCAGGCTGGCTGATAGGGCACGTACGTGGCCGTCTGACCGTCATCCACAACACCCGTTCCCCATCCATCCCTCTATCCCTAAAACCGCCCTCTTTCGACCATCCATACGACTATAACATCAACAGCACAGACGTGATGCGGCGTTCTTCGAACCGTCAGAAGAAAGCCGTTGTAGGAGCTGTGCTGGATGCAGCTTCAATGGAAGCTGAAGCCGTCAATGAGCTGGGTAAGCCTTCCATTCAGTCACTGCTCTCGTACCCACTCCGCATATTTCTCACCTGCCACACCTGGATACTCCATTGTAGCCAAGAAACAGACTGCCTCTTCGCCTTCCCTTCCTCCTCGTGGAGCGAAGGCAAAAGCCCTTCTCAACAAAGGTGAGCCTCTCAAAATAGGTAGCTGCTGATGATAACCTGAGCTGACAACTAATACTTTAAGTATGGACTTCTGACGCACCTGCTCCAAGGAACAAGGCGGGCAAAAAGCGGGCCCTTCCGGACGAAGTCACCGAGGCTGCAACCACTGTGACTCTGACGCCGTCCACTCGGAGTCGACCGAAACCCCGACACAGGATGGCGGTGAATGGCCGCGATGAGTCTGCCAAAACCAAGGAGGGCTTAAGCTCGAATGCGGACGCTTTGTCTCAGAAGGGTACGTGCCTAGTTCATATTGCTAGTACAGAGTTGGTGGTGAATTGGACGGTTCTCAACAGGCACCAAAGGAGGCCGGTCCCGTGGCGCTGCGAAATCTGCCGACGGGGACTCGGAGACCACAACCCGACCTGCTGAGCCGCCTTCCAAGCGTCAGAAGCTATCTGTTCGTCATCGTGCCGGTAAGCCTTACCTCTGGCACAGAAACCTGAGCCTAAAACGCACTCTGAATGCTTTCCTACCAGCTGACCGTAAACCCGAAGCCGAAAAAGTCTCTGAAGACTGTCCCAAGGCGTCATCTGGAAGCGAGGAGGACCAATCAGTGTCGTCTGAAGATGACATTGGTGTCAACAATGACTGGGCCGAACTCACAGCAGAGGTACTACCCCAATGAAGCAATGTTGAGGTTACGTTTTGGCTAACCAGATCTTAGAAAGCTGCTTGGTCTGATGACGACCATGATGCTGATGTTCAAAGCTCTGGCGATAAGGGGAAAGGTAGAGTCACAGGCTTACCGGTGGACGCCCAACATTGTACTGACAGCTCTCGACAGGTCGACAGACCTACATCACTTTGGATGACCTCGAAGAGTCGTCTATATCAGGCTCCGAGTTCCGGCCGGAAGACTCAGTCGACCACGAGTCGTCTGCTGAGAGTTCTGAGGTCCAAGTCTTCGATCCAGACTCTGATTTTGAGGCTTTCGACCCAGATGCGTGGATGACTGATGAAGAGTACACCCATGAGAAGATGGTGGCGAACTTGGCCAAGGACGAGGAGAGGCGGAAGGCGGAGATTGTCCGTCGTCGTAAGGCGGAGAAGGAAAAGGTGCGCTATTAGGCGGCGAAGCTTGTAGTGTGCTTTCTCACCGTGCGTATTAGGAGTGCATCCGTCACGAGAAGGCGAGAAAGGAGGATGAGGTAAGCGTCACATCTCCCAGCCCTCCCTCCATTGTCCGTAGCAGGCCGCTCCTCTCTCCCCCTCCCACCATGCACCTCTCCCTCCCTGGTCCACTGCTATGTTGTGACAATGGTCCCTCCCCAGGAACCTCTTTGGCTTGATGTTCCTCCCAAAAGGTCGTCTTCATCTCAAGCTGCCAAAGCATCCAACAAACTCCGGACTGCGTCTGCCTCTACCCCGGCTTTGGGTCCCCAAATGGCTCAATCTCCTGCTACAAAGCCCTCCGGATCCCGTAGCGGTGCGTTTCTGCTCTCACCAGCCTCTTCGTCTACTTAGATCAAATAATGGATGCAGCTCCGATACTCTCTACCATCTCGACCAACTACTCATCGGAAGACGACGACGAGGAAGACGACGAGGACATCATTGTGGAGGCTCTAGGTCTAGTACCCTCCGACCTGCCGCCCATGACGTATGCAGTTGTGCCCTCCGCGAACCCAGGTGGAGTACTCTCCCTCACATCTCAGCACATTCACGTCCGCGACACCCTTCGTGTTGCTTTCGAGTTGGTCAGGGAGCACGTTCTTTCGGAGAATGCATTCCCAGACACAGTTGGTCGCCATCAGTTCGTCACTGCTTCTATCCTGCGTGCGGCTCAAACCAGAGGGTACAATGGCCTGGCTGGATGGTTTACGTCGAACCCAGACGAACTCAGAGCGCTGGCTCCTATAGTACGTCTTCTCCTCACTGCTATGCAATGGCCAGAGTCACCCACGCAGGCCCCAACAGGTCAACCAGCGCATCTGTTCCATTCGGAACGACCTCAAAAAGGCATCCGATAACCTGGTGGTTGGTTTCTTCAAGATCGTTTCTGGTGATGAGACGAAGCAGCTCATCAAGTGGCTCCTGCAACACCTCAACTACTCCTACCCCGTTGAGGTAATGTCGAACAAGCCTAGTACTACGCCAAGGTTGTGGCTTACGCAGATCATCATCTCCGTCCTTGCAGCCAATGCAAGCTACTGTGCCCCGAAACAAACCTTACCAGCATCCAAGCATCTCGGCGATCCTAGCCACGGTGTTCTTCAAGGGCCGGAAGCCACACGCCAAGAAGCACGCCTCTATCTTCAAGTCCACCTCCCCCGATCGTCCCGAGGAGAAGGAGATCCCGATGACGATGGTTGCCCTTGTTAGCACTGCGGTGAGTTTCCTACTCGAACTTGCTGACTGGCATATACGCTGATCGACATCAGATACACTCCTCGCTCATGGATTGGAGTCAAGGGACTCACCAGCCGACGTACTTTACAGCAGACAAGTACCTCGACGCCTACAACGAGCACGTTTTCAACCTTGAGCAAATCAAGGCCCGGAACCCACGCGGCTACCATAAGACGATGCATGGGCTTTATGTCGCTGCAGGGTACGTTGGACCACTCCTTTAGAACCCCCCGCTCATCGCTTTCAAACAGCGGCAGTATTCCTCCTCGCCCGGCTGATATGAGTGCCAACATCGCCATGGTCGACTACGACAACATGGATGTAGACTAGGTTGACTTCCAGAAACAACAGCCAGATACCCCGGTCCCCGCCTGATTTCTCTCCCGTCTCGTCATCTCCTATCCCTTTGTCCTTCCGTCTTCGTCTCGTCGTCTCCCGTAATTTCGTCTCGTCGTCCCCTATGATCTCTTCGTCTCCGTTTCCCCTTCAATTGCCTACTGTATCACCGTCGTGGCCTCCCATCTTGCCGTCTCGTTGTTACAGCTCCCCGTCTCGTTGTCACGGCCTCGTCATCACGGTCTTCCGTCTCGCCTCGTCATTGGGTCATCTTGGCAAGGTCCCCCCCGGGTTTCGTCCTCTCACACCTCTCTTTATTCCTTGGTACGTTGTTAATGCGCCCCTTTGAAGCGGACAAAAGCAGCTGCTGACAGCCAACCTGCCACTGCACCATAGGCCGTCTAACTGTCTCTTCAAATCAAGCCTTTCAAGCCGTCCACTCTCACTCGTCAACATGCCCCCGGCGTCCGGCATGCGCCCACCACGTCACCCCAACTGTCGTCCCTCCCTTCTCGTCTCTCACTTCAACTAATCCGCCCGTCTCCTCTTAGTCTCGACCCGTTCTTCCTGTCCTTGTAAGCCCCCATCAACCGTGTTACTTAAGACTGAACCCACTCCAATAGACACCAAACCCAACTCAATATGTCGCCAAAGCTCACACCAAAGCATCGACGGCACCACCCACACCAACCACCAACACGTCGCCCCCCCAACCAACAACCCCCGCACCAACACGTCACCCCCGCTCCAGTGTGTCGCCCCACACACCAACGCGAAGTCGCCCCACGCACCAACACGGAGTTGCCCCACGCACCAACGCGTTCCCCTAGACCAACGTATCGCCCGTTTTTGTTCCCCTTTGTTTCAAGCCCATATCGGTATGTCATCATCCTTCATACCATCAGCGTGCCAACTTGGAACCCCGGCTGACAAGTCCGTCTGACACAGCTGCTGTGCAGTGTTGTTGCCCACCGCTCACGCATAAGTCCGTGTCGTAGCCTCTTCAGTCCTGCCACCCTTCCGACTTTGGCTAAACCATCCAACAGATCTCAACGAACGAGACTTCAACGCCCCTACCCAGGTCGACGTCGCCACCTCCATCGTCGCCGCCTCCATCGTTGCCACCTCCACCAGCCCCCCCTCCCCACCCCCGTAATTCGTCCCTATGTTCGTCCGTCTTCGGCGGCGTCGTTCCTGTGCACCTGCAGGCAGCTTTGTGCCGTAAATTCGAGAGTTAGACGCCTATTGTATCGCCGTGTTCTTCCTGCTTAGCAGACGTCTGTGCAATGTCAATAACTGTGTACTCTCCTCTGTGTGAACCCAATCGGTGCCGATGAGCACATCTATCCGCCTCTTTTGAGATATAAATAGCTACTATTATGCCCTTTTATTCGCTACTAATGATGCTAATGACCGCTAGCCGTCAGGGGATTAAACTCATTAGACTAATTTAGAGACATCAACTAATGACGATAATAATACCTCATTATACTCCATTACATCTCAATAGACATCCGGGTTTTCCCTGATGCATTCGCTGGGGTTTCTGTTTCCACGGTTGATCATTCCGTCTGGCCACAGCATCATCTACAGCTATTGTGATACTGGGAGTGATGGTGAGTTTGCGCTACGCCCTGTGAGCGCTGATAACGAACTGGTTGATGATATACTGTATACAGTGGTGTTTTTCTTTGACTACATCCTTACAATCAGAGAGGAGATCTCCCTCTTTTGGAACAGCAAGCTCACTCTCGCCGCCGCACTCTTTTTCGCCAACCGATATCTCTCGATAATCACGCTTGTGTACGACATAACTCTTAACTTTGTCCCTACTCCCACTGTCAAGGTCAGATTATGTCAAGTAAAGTGTTTACTATGGCCTATCTTCTAAAGTATCGTTTCATGTCACAGATGTACGCCGACGCCGTAAATATATTCGCACCCGGCAGATACTAACCGCATTTGTTCGTGTAGTTGCTTGGACACAGATCGAAGCCAATCGACGTTCATGCTGTCAACCACTGTGGTCTTCGCAGGTTAGTTTCCACTAAATCATCTCTTCCACTATACCCATGCGGCCGCTTCAGCGTTCTGCGCACTTCGCACTCTGGCCATGTGCAGAGTCCAGTCTCTCAAGCGCTGGGCATCGGTGCTCATATCCACCACCACCTTCCTGCTCGCAATGATACCGGTGGGGTTAAATATCGTGTGTGCCACCAACATGGTAGTGCGCTGTTGGACTGAGCTGACGACGTCATGCTAGATGGCTGAAGTACGTGAGACTGCACGGGTCGATGGCGGAGGATGCGACATTGCCTCGACGGCGGGTCCTAGTAAATGTACGTTTTGCTCCAAAGCACGCTTGGTGTGTACTGGCTTTCATTTTGTATCCACACAGTGATCATCCTCTCTCGCCTCTCGCTCGTGACCGCGGACCTCATCGCGATCGTCATCACTTGGCGTGCGTTGGGAGTGGGTTGTCGTCAAGACAGCGGTACCGGTGCACCCTCTGGCTCGTTCTCGCGTGTTTTACTCAAAGACGGTGCGCCATATATGCTTCGCACTCTTTTAAAGCCGGTGCAACCCAAAAACCTGACAGGCACACTTTATTTTGTGTGAGCGCGAGTGACGTCGATGGGTTCACGATGGATAACGCTCGTACCCAGGACTTTGACCATCCTCAACCTACTCCACATAGTGTTCTCGAGTGTACCGGTACGTTCTCGACGTTGCGCTACGTTCATGTGTTGAGCACATTGACGTCGGTCAATGCAGATCACTGCCAGGGGGTTCATATTCGTCACTCTCTTCACCACCCCGTCAGTGTGATATTTCCGGCTCCTCTGCTCGACAGTTGACACCGCCTTGATAGGTTGTCTTCCATCCTTGTGTCCCGCTTCCTCATTCATCTGCAGGCCGTCAATGCCAAGGTTTCCAGAAGAGGTGTTTCCTCCGACTCACCTGAAGTTGGAGGCGCACAGGAAGAGTCGCTCGTCTTCGAGCGGACGATGGGATCGTTGACCACCTCCATCGACGTTGTGGAACAAGATATAGACTTTGACTACCTCGATGTGGCCGGCACGGGTGACGAACCGGAGGAACAGGGCGTTGGCAGGTGTGAGGTGTGATATGAGACAGATTACTCTTGGCGTCGAGCACGGTGGCGCGGGAACTATACCGATAGTGAATATACGGAGATGTATCGCTACGCGTCCCTCATACAAGCTCTATATCATACAGAGAACATGGGTGCACTGCGAGAAAGCGAGGTACATAACATCAAGGACGGGAACGACGATTGGCGGCGGCGCAGGGGGGCGTGATTATACAGAGTGTGTGGTAAGGTATGTACAGTACAGGGTTTTGAACCATCCAAGTCAAGCGGGAGAACCGATAGCCAGTAGAGTCGTGCGAACGCAGTTGCTGTTGAGAGGTGGACAAACGCAAATGCTGTTGAGGCGGACAGGGACGGATGCTGGTGAGGGGCGAATGGAGGCTGTTGAGAGTTCGGAGGATGCAAGATGCTGTTGAAACAAACGGCCTGGAGAAGGGCGCTCAATCCTTGCGCCCGTCCTTGGAAGGCCTGGGAGGAGAGCTGGGCGCGGCCAAGCCGCCCACGCGCGGCGGGATCGTGAAGCGGAACATCCCCACCGTATTCCCGAACCCGCCAAGGCAACACGACGGCGTGCACACAAACGGCGACACGCGCGTGAAGTGCAGCCGCGGCACCGCCGTCCTCCGCTTCGCCGCGGCGGGCGCGCCAGCGCGTCCCCAGCTCCCGCTCCCGGCCGCGACCGACTCCTGCCGCCGTCGCTTCGGCGAGGGCGGCGCGTGGCTGAGCGCCAGCAGTGGAGCGGGCACGACCTTCCGTTCGAGTGGGTCGAACGTCCAGAGCTCCCATCGGTCGAGCGCAGCGGGGGTGAGGCCACCTGGCTGGTCTGCGGCGAGCTGCGCCTGCGCGTGGAGGTCGCTGCTCGTGCGTTTGGTGAGCGCTGGTCGCGGGCGGCGGCGGATGCCGACGATCTTGTCAAGTCCAACGTCCCACGCCCCGCGTTCAACGGTCGTCTCCGCGACGCGAACGACGACGAGGCTCTGCCAGATTGACGGTTGAGCATGTGCGGCGAGGAAGCTCGACGCGGGCGTCACGTCCTGTGGCCCGATGGGCGCGTCGTACTCGTAGTAGTCCGGGTTGCTGAGCAAAAAGGACTCGGAGGCGCGGCGAATGGTGTCTTTCTCTGACGCGCGGCGCGAGTGCACACCGTGGCCAGAGACAGGGAAGGTGGATGGGGAAGAGGAAGAGAGCGAGGGGCGGCGGGAGCGTATGCGCACGGGGGTGTTGGCCCCTGTGGAGCCGGCGGAAGCGTTGCTACTACTGCGAGGACGGATGGAGGAAGTGAGGAGACTTGAGCGGGGAGCTTGCTGGGGGATATTGCGAGGGCAGGCGCAACGACGTGTTGGGAGCGTCAAGTATGCGCGGTAAAACTGGACGACATGCCCGACCGAGAACGTGATGGAAAAGTTCTCGACGGGGAGCTCGCCGCACGTTGTGCACTCAGAGACCTGAACGGGGGAAAGCCTGAGGAGGTTGATGTCGCCGAACGGCTCGTCGAGGATGAACAAACACTCGACTGTGCTCGCCTCCCAGAGGGAGATGACCCCCGCTTGAGACGCAGCGCCCACGATGACGCGCTTCGCCCCATCGAGCTCGACCAAGCATGCGTGCGCCTTCGAGACGAGGTCGGATGGGTTGCCCGCGTTGATTGCGCATTCGCCCTTAAGTACCGGGTTGGCCTGTTCAACGTTGCAGATCTCCAGGACACCATCGTCCAACGAGAAGGCGACGAGTAGCCGGCCATCGCCTTGGATCGGAAGGAGCATAGACTTGATGACGGACGCGGCCCGAGAGGGTGTCACATAACGGCCGGAATTGAAGGACAGCACATCCCATTCCACAATCGCGCCATTCTCATAGGCCGCATAGAGCCGACAGGTGA